GAGTCAGCAGATTTGAGGGACTTGTTGCCCAATTCTAATTAGAACACCATGTGCTTCACATGGAAGTGGAATTCTAACATGTTCCATACCCTTCTCCACCATAGACTCGAATCCCCAGAGCTTGGGGTTTTATTGCAGGCTCCTCCCTCCTCCTGGAGACCTTAACCTATTCCCACTTAGGAATGTTGTTGACGAATGGTCTCATGAAACTTGTGGCTCTACTTAGGACTCAGACAGGTATGCAGAGCAGGACTCACAGTCTCAGTGGATCACCGACAGGGCCCACTGATGAAGGCTGATCCCGTTCCTCCACTCAATGGGCTTCTATTGCAGCCTGTTTGCTGATAAAATGGCTGTGATTTCCCAGTGGTCTCGTTCTTGAGTCCCCGTTCATTATTTCCAATTCCTTCTGTGTTTCTCCACGTGGCGCTACAAGTAACCTTAAATTCAATTTCCAAAACAAAATTCCTTATCCAAGCTTGTTCCAAGAGGCAAATGCTAAAATTGTTCAATGAACTGAGCAGGAATCTAGAATGGGGTGGGAATGAGGTTGTGGTTACATGTGCTTGCAGGCAGGATCTGTGAGCAAGAGAAGAGTCAGAGCACAAAAGCCAAGCCCAGAAACACTTCAAAGACCAGTTTGGTAAAAGTGGTCTTTTACCACTGTCCATGCCCAGAGTTCAAGCTCCACAACTGACAAAAAAAAAAAGTGAAGTGTGAGGACTGGGGCTATAGCTCGGCAGTGGATCTCTAGCGTATTTGAGCTCCTGGGTTCCATCTCCATCCCCTCAAAAATATAAATCCACAGGGCTGGGAATGTGGCTCAGTGGTGGAGTGCTTGTCTAGCATGCATGAAGCCCTGGGTTTGATTCTTCAGTATCACATAAGCAGAAAAAGCCAGAAGTGGCACTGTGGCTCCTGTGGTACAGTGCTAGGCTTGAGCAAAAGAAGCTGAGGGACAGTGCCCAGGCCCTGAGTTCAAACCCCAGGACTGGATATATATATCCACAAACCTGAAAGAGAAAGCTGAAGCTAGGTGCTGGTGGCTCACACCTTAATCCTAGATACTCCGGAGGCTAAGATCTGAGGATCTCAGTTCAAAGCCAGCTCAGGCAAGAAAGTCTGTGAGACTCTTATCTCCAATAAACCATTAGAAAACTGGAAGTAGCACTGTGGCTCAAGTGGTAGAGAGCTCACCTTGAGCTGAAGAGCGCAGGGAAAGCGCCCAAGCCCAGAGTTCAAGCCCCACACCAACCAAAAAAATAAGTAACTAAATAAATAAAAATAAATTATTGGGGCTGGAAGTGGTAGAGTGCTTGCCTTGCATGCATGAGGCCCTGGGTTCAATTCCTCAGCACCACATAAGCAGAAAAAGCCGGAAGTGGCACTGTGGCTCAGGTGGTAGAGTACTAGTCTTGAGCTGAACTGCTGAGAGACAGTGCCCAGGCCTAGAGTTCAAGCCTCACAAACAACCAAAAAATTTTTTTTGTTTGAGTTACTGAGGAATCAAACCTGGGCCTTATGCATGGTTGGCATGTACTCTACTACACTAAGCCACATTCCCTGCCAGAGGAGTTCCCAGATTGGCATTTATTTTTCAATATTTGGAGTCTTTGGAGACTAATTACCTTCCTTTTTGTTTTTTTTTGTCAGTTTTGGGCTTGGACTCAGAATCTGGGTTGTTTCCCTGAGCTTCTTTTGCTCAAGGCTAACATTCTACCACTTGAAGCCACAGGGTGACTTCTGGCTTTTTCTGTTTATGTGGTACTGAGGAATCAAACCCAGGGCTTCATGTGTGCTATGCAAGCACTCTACCAGCCTACGATGAGTCTAAAGGAAGGGCTAGGAAGGTGGCTCAGTGGTAGAGTGCTTGCCTTGCATGCATGAGGCCCTGGGTTTGATTCCTCAGCACCACATAAGCAGAAAAGACCAGAAGTGGGGCTGTGGCTCAAGTGGTAGAGCGCTAGCCTTCACCTGAAGAGCTGAGGGACAGTGCCCAGGCCCAGAGTTCAGGCCCCACGACTGGCAAAAAAAAGCTGTGTATATATGACCATATAAGCTGATGCTAAATGAAATGAACCCCAAGATAGGGACACAAGACATTTTATCTTTTTTGCTGTTCTTTTTAATGTACTATTTGATTTTATTTTTGTTTCTTTGTATGTTCTTCCCTCATGGTATAACTCCCGTTGTCACTCCTGTTGTATTTGATTCTAGTGTCCTACATCTTGTATATACATTTTTCTAAGTTGGGGAGGGAAAGGGAAATAACAAAATGCTGAAATAAGGATACAGGATGACCCATTGAGCAATGAGATGTACAAGACACTATGTTGAAAATGAACTTTACAACTTTGAGGGAGGGAGGACTTGGGGAGGTAGGGAGGAAAGGGATGGTAGGGGAAAAACAAAGGAGGGGTAATAATGTTCGATAGGAAATGGACTTATCTTGTTAATGTAACTGTAACCCCTCTGTACAGTATCTTTAAATAAAAAAATATATATTAATTTTTTTTTTAAAAAAGGACTTTCCTGCCTGGGCTGGCTTTGAACCATAATCCTCAGATCTCAGCCTCCTGAGTTGCTAGGATTATAGGGATGAGCCACCAGCACCTGGCTAGCCATGTTTTGATAGTAATCATTCTTTCTGAAGTGAGGTGATCACTCACAGTGGATTTGATTAGCTTTTACTGACGTTGAACCTTTTTTTCATGTCTGTTTTGAGCATTTGCATGTCCTGAGTGATGTTTATTTAGATCTAATGCCGAGGCAACTTTTTTTCTCAGGAAAATAAAGTTCTGCTGCTACTTCTTATATTTACACTGCTTCCTGAAGCAGGAAGAACTTTGTAGTTTATACTTGCTCTACAGTCCCAACTTAATTCACCTTCTGCCCAACTGTACCCAATAGTCTTTCCACTGGAACATTTCTTTTTATTAAGAACATTTTTGGCATAGAATATCATGCTTCTGAGCTGATTAATCTGTTTTTCTTCTTGATACAAGAAGTATGGACATTTGGCACATTGTTTCTGCATTGGACAAGACTGTTGAACTTTCCAAGAACCCCATCTAAGATTTTCACAGCTGCCAAAATATTTAAAGTCAAATGAGACTATGTAAACATGCATGTTATCAGCTGTTCTGCAACATTTGTGTTGTAGAGATAATGAGTCTCTACTAAACCACAAAAGCCCAGAAGGATTAAAGGATGTGATAATGTGGGATTCCTTTCTCTATTACCATTTCTGGCAGAGGTTAAGTGTTCTCTCTGGTTAAGTGTGAGACTATCATAACTCCTCAAGGGGCAATGCTCATGACCTTATTAAAAGTAAGGAATTGTATTACTAAACAAACAAGAGCAGACCAAGTGTGGACTAATGATGAAAGTCTGTCAGGAATTAGGAGTTATAATGAATTGAATTCTATTCAGAATTATGATTAGCCCAATTCTGTACACATGACTGTAATTGAGAGGAAGGAATCAAGAATCATATTGGACCTTTTAGTGTTTTTGCAGAAAGAAGGGGAAGAATTTAAGTTTACAGTGCATTTTGAACTCCTGACCTTTGGTTGAACCTTTAGAGTTAAAAAATATGTGCCAGGTGGTGATGGTTCATGCCTATAATCCTAGCTACTCAGGAGGCTGAGATCTGAGGATTGAGGTTCAAAGGCAGCCTGGACAGGAAAGTCCAATTAACCAACCAGAACACCAGAAGTGGCACTGTGGCTCAAGTGGTAGAGTGCAAGCCTTGAGCTGAAGAGCTCAGGGACAGCACCCAGGCCCAGAGTTCAAGACCCGTAACCACCACCAACAACAATAAAAGTACAGGTCTGGGGCTGTAGCTAAGTGGTAGAATACTTCCTTAACCTGCATACCGCCCTGGGTTTAGTGTCTGGCACCACACAAACATGCACAAATTTCAATACATATGTAAGCTGGGTGCCGGTAGCTCATGTCTATAATCCTAGCTATTCAAGAGGCTGAGATCTGAGGATTGCAGTTCAAAGCCAGCCCAGGCAGGAAAGTCTGTGAGACTCTTATGTCCAATTAACCACCAGAAAACCAGAAGTGGTGCTGTGGCTCAAGTGGTAGAGCACTTGCCTTGAGCTGAAGAGCTGAGGGACATCACCTAGGCCCAAAGTACAAGCCCCCACGATGGACCAAATCAAACAAAAAAAATTGTATCTTGAAAATAACCAACCAGGCCCTAGTGGCTCACGCCTGTTATCCTAGCTACTCAGGAGGCTGAGATCTGAAGATAATTGGTTCAAAGCCAGTCAGGGCAAGAAGTCTGTGAAACTCCAATAACTACTCAGTAAATGCTGGAAGGTAGAGCTAGTTCCCTAGGCACAACTTGGATCCAAAATATGTCTGTTTGGGGCAGCTTAGTCTTTTCCTGCAGTTCTTTTGAAGTCCTAGCTCCCAACTTGCTCCATTAGAAGACTCTGCCCATAGTTTAGGTATTTGTTACATCATTCTGTTCAGGACAGAACTCCAATTAACCACCAAAAACCCAGAAGTGGAAGTGTGGCTCAAGTGGTAGAGCACCAGCCTTGAGTGAAAAAGCTAAGGGGGAGTTCCCAGGTCCAGTATTATGTGTGCCTGTGCACATGCACGCGCACAAACACACACACAAACACACACACACAGAAGACAAGAATCAGCTAATATTCAAATCATCTTGGGAATCAGACATAAGCAGAGGAAATGAAGTTCAGTACATCAAGGGTTCTAATATTAGAGAATTCAAAATGTAACCAGGAGCTTGTTCCCAAACAGCATGGGTTCTGTAAGATTGTGTGAGAGATGCTGTCCCAGGTTGGCTTTCTCTCAGGAGAATGTCTGGGTTAGCCTGGCCCAGAGGCTCACTCAGCTGCAGGGCACAGGCACAGACTGCCCTCCATCCAGCCAGACTCCAAATACCCAGCCCCACACTGTCCTGAACTGCTGACCATGTACCTACTTCCTTCCTCTCATACTTGCTTTGCTTTTTCCAGGTCTACAAAGGAGAGTTTCAGCTACCTGATTTTCTTAAGGAAAAACCCCAGGTACTATATATGAAATCTGCTGCTTCCTCTTGTTTTGTAAGAGATGGGCTTCCAGAAAGGCAACTTTTTTTTTTTAAGAGATAGGACATTCAAAAGATAAAACAGAGGGTTGGGAATGTGGCTTAGGGTAGAGTGCTTGCTTAGCATGCATGAAGCCCTGGGTTCGATTCCTCAGTACCACAATAACAGCCAGAAGTATCGCTGTGATTCAAGTGGTAGAGTGCTAGCCTTGATCAAAAGAAGCTCAGGAACAGTGCCCAGGCCCTGAGTTCAGCCCCAGGACTGACAAAAAAATGATGACAATAGGTGTTGTGGGGCAGAGGTTGGCATGTGGTATCACTGCCATGATAATTTAACAGTCATCATCTCAGAGAGCTCAGTGTCTTCCCAAGCTAGGCAGGTGGCCTGCTGTTAACTGAGTGCCCATTGCTAAGCGTCACTCATGAACCACACAGGAGTTCATATGGGTCAGTGTGCCTTGGTGTCTCCTCCCAGCCTCCTGATAATCTACTTCGTAATAAAGTATGGGCACCCTCTGTGCTCTTCTACATTCTTTTTATTTTTATTTTTTGGTTGTGGGGCTTGAACTTGGGGTTTGAACACTGTCCCTGCACTCCTTTTGCTCAAGGCTAGTGCTCTACTACTTGAGCCCCAGTGCCATTTCCAATCTCATGGGCAGAAAAGCCCAATTAGCCACCAAAAAGCTGGAAAACACATACACACCCAGAGAGGTATATCTGAAAGTCACCTGTTGCACCAATATCAATGAGCTGCCTTCTCTAGGAGAAGCTGTGGCTTATCCAGAGATGAAGGTTCTTCCAAGCTGACCATTGTGTAATGACTACCATCAGTAGCTGATAAATATTACTCAGAGAATTTATAAGGCATATTCTTACTTGCATAGACTTAGGAGTCATTCATCAATTTCACTCATTAAAAATGTTTTCAGCCAGGTGCCGGTGGCTCATGCCTGTAATCCTAGCTACTCAGGAGGCTGAGATCTAAGGATCGCAGTTCAAAGCCAGCCTGGGCAGGAAAAGTCTGTGAGACTATCTCTAATTAACCACCAGAAAAACTGGAAGTGGCACTGTGGCTCAAGAGGTAGAGTACTAGCCTTGAGCTGAAGAGCTGAGTTCATGCTCTGGGACTGGAAAAAATAATTGCAGATGAGAAATCAGAATAGATCTTCAGGATTAAGCATAGAAGGGCAGCTGGGCGCCAGTGGCTCATGCCTGTAATCCTAGCTATTCAGGAGGCTGAGATCTGAGGATCATGGTTGAAAGCCAGCCCAGGCAAGAAAGTCCATGAGACTCTTACCTCCAATAAACTTCTAGAAAACCGGAAGTGGTGCTGTAGCTCAAGTGGTAGAGCGCTATCCTTGAGCTGAAGAGCTGAGGGACAGCGCCTAGGCCAGAGTTCAAGCCTCAGGACTGACAAAAAAAAAAAAAAAGAATAGCAGGGCGCAGGTCCCCTGTCTGTTACTCACACAGGCTTGGAAGCCAGAGCCAGAGAATAAACCCAGATAGTGTTCTAAGGAACACCAAACCCTAAGGCTGGTATGCAGAGGTCTGAAGGAGTCAAAGATGGAATTTGAGACTAAAACAAAAGGGTTCAGGGCTTATCAGAGATTCCAGTGATTTCCAGGAGGAATGTAGACTGTGAACTACAAGACAGTGATGTTCCCACAGGTGAGGAGTGCCTTCATAACCTAACAAGGAAAAGTTTCCTAACCTAAAGACGGGTAGTGTTCCACAGTAGAATTGAGACTATTTTCCTGTTAAAAATCATAAAAAGAGCCAGCTGCCAGTGGCTCATGCCTGTAATCATATCTACTAAGGAGGTTGAGATCTGAGGATTATTGTTGGAAACCAGCCAGGGCAGAAAAGTCCATGAGACTCTAATTTCCAGTTAACTACCAAAAAGCCAGAAGTGGACCTGTGGCTTCAGTAGTAGAGTATTAGCCTTGTGCACAAAAGCTCAGGGACAATGCCCAGGCCCTGAGTGTAGGCCCAAGGACTGGCACAAAAAAATTTTTTTTAAGTCATAAATAACTAGAAAGGGGCTGGGAAGGTGACTTATGGTAGAGTGCTTGCCTAGCATGCATGAAGTTTGATTCCTCGGTTGATTCCTCAGTACCACATAAACAGAAAAAGCCAGAAGTGGTGCTATGGCTCAAGTGGTAGAGTGCTAGCCTTGAACAAAAAAAGAAGCTCAGGGACAGTGCCCAGCCCTGAGTTCAGGCCCTAAGACTGGCAAAAAATAAATAAAGACTAGAAAAGTGAACCTTATATTGGAGAAAACATTTGAACAAAGGATCTAGCTGTAGAATATAGAGTTTCAACAAATCAATAAGAAAAGGATGACCTGAAATTAGAAGTCTTGGCAGGCTCTTTGCAACCCTTACTGTGTTTAGCTTTTAGCATCTCCTCCCCCTCCTCCATGCACACATACATAGATTTAGAAAAGGTGGAACTTAGAACTGCAAACACCTAGACTGTCATAGACTTGTGGTTAGCCAGTGCCAGACTTGCATATACAGCTTTATTATAATAGGAACAGATTCGGACTCTTCTTTGGCCAAAGAAGAGTCACCAAGGCCTGGAGAGAGGGACCTCTGGGCATAGAGCCGCTGTGCCCTCTCCCTGTGGAATCAGGCACTCTACCCTTCCAGACATCTGTGGGTTCATTAGCTGGGAAGTACCCCTGAGCCTCAGTACCCAGATTTCTCCTGTAGGCTTATCCATGTAGCCTGGTGGTCAGGCTGAGTCAAAGTCCCAACTGTGATCTTCCAGGTGACCTGTCCTCATCCCAAGTCACCTCAACTGTTTGTGTACTCAGTATGACTCAGGGGCTCATGCATGACCACAACCATTATCAGGAAATGTCAGAGGGTTTAGTGTCCCTCCTTGGAACCAAGGAAGAAACCTGCTGTCCTTCATTTTTATGACAGTTTCAGGCTGGGGTCACTTGCAAGTCTGAGTCAAGCCTGCCAGCTGGCCTGATGTGTCATTGGGAACTGTCAGTTCTCATGCTGACAGCTTCAAGGACTTTACAATATCTTTTGTTTCCTCCAACAGACAGAGCAAGTGGAGTAGCCTGGCCAAGGCCTCTTTCACTCCTGAGGTAAGGCTTGGCAGATGCCAGGAAACCAGCTCATTTGTGGGGGCAAAGCCGCCTGCTGAACCCACAGTTATGGTCTGAGTGAGATGTTGTGGATGCCTTTCATTGTTTGGGGCTTGAAAAGCTTTCCTAAAAATCTCGTAGTTTAAGCCAGGCTCTGGTGGCTCACGCCTGTAATCCTAGCTACTCAGGAGGCTGAGATCTGAGGATCGAGGTTCAAATCCAGCCTGGGCAGGAAAGTCTGTGAGACTCTTATCTCCAATAAACCACCAGAAAACCCGAAGTAGTGCTGTGGCTCAAAATGGTATAACACTAGCCTTGAGCTGAAGAGCTGAGGGACAGCACCCAGGCCTAGAGTGCAAGCTGACCCACCCCCCACCCCCCAAAAAAGAAAGAAAATCTCCTAGTTTTTCTCATAGTTTTGCTTGCTGAGCTTTATGTAATAACCATGCACAAGGTGCACACTCCATGCCAGGCATAAATACAAAGCAATATGTTGTGATGTATAAAATGTACAATAAGACACCTGAATTGATTCAGTTCTCAGAGCACTTGGCACGCAGGTCTTAATATTCCTATCGTACTGGATGAGAAAACTGAAGCTGAGTAGCTCGAGTGAGATTTTTACACTTTGCTGTCTTCATGGGGTCTAAACATAAGCAGCAACGCACTGCTGTGTCATGTCAAAGTCATGATATCACTAATAGAATTAATAGTACTGTGGGCCTTGGGACCGAAGAGAATGTGGAGTGTTCAGCTGCCCTCTGCTGAGTGCATGCATGCGTGCGTGATGGCTGTCATTAGGCCTTGGGAAATTTGCTTTTAACATAGGGAAGTGTGGCCCTACTGCACCAGCATGCACGGTGATCAGCTTCCTTGGGCACTCTGTATGTCCACTGCTCCCAGCTGCCCGTTGTTCCACACGGTGCTAGGTCTTCCTCTGGGCCGAGCTGGGGGGAAGCTGGGGACGTGTGACCCTGTGTGTCCTTCCAGGAGACTCAGCACCCTCCTTTTAGTGCCATGACTTTGATATGAGCTGCTGGTCCCCCTCCGCAACTCCACACTGCAGCTGCCACAGGTATAGCCTGAAGCACCCAGTGCATCCCAGACTACTCTCAGCTCAGTGTCTCCCAGGGCTCCCAGCCTCCTCCTGCCTGGCTACTTGGCACCTGCCTGAGGAGGTGGCTGAGGTGCAGGCTGAGCGGGCCATGACGCATGTGGTAACCATGTTCTGTCTGTTTGTCCTAGGAGACCCCTGCTGCCTGTGAGTGGAAGGGACTTTGCAGCACCAGCCGTCCTCTCAGGAGCACCCCGTGGGTGCGCATGCCTGCGTGCCTGCCTGCGTGCGAGTGTGCTAGCAGCCTGGTTCTCATACCTGGCCCCTGGTGACCTGATTCATGCTCCCAGTCCTGTGAGATCACAGTCCTGTGAGCATCATCACGGCGGTCCTTCCTCCTCCTCCTCCTTCTCCCCCTCCTCCTCTTCTTCCTCCTGGTCTTCCTCTTCCTCTACTTCCTCCTCCTCCTCCTCTTCTTCCTCCTCTGGCCCCGGACCTGCCTCCGGAGCTCAAACGTGGCGCTCCGCGGGCAGAGCCAGCCACCTCACTCGGAATAGGTTGTCTGTGCGTGTCCCAGTGTTTTGTAGAACACGTGTGCCTGTTTTAAGTGTACCGATGTGGATACTATTAAGTACCTTAATTATTTAAATAATTCATTGTATTGTTTCTGAGAAGGTGGGAAATGACAGTATACATTTACAACTCAATGACTTTTGTATTTTATTTTTCAAAATAAAAGCTTTAAATGTGAAGCACTCCAGTAGCTCATGTTTGCTCAGGTTGTGGTTTCAGGGCCACACAAGGCCCAAGACACTGCGCTCCTGCCCATGGCTCCTGCAGACCCCCGCATCTTTCTGCAGTGTGTCTGTGAGAACCTGCTGCCTCCAGGCTCCAGGGTGCCTGTGCCCAGCTCTTGCAGGCCACCTGCACACCGACCTCTCCCCATGATGTCTTTCCACCTTTCCTTGTCTGGTAGCTGCCCTCTTGTTCTCTGGCCTTGTAGTTCTTCCAGAGTCCTCTTCCTGGCCTCCTGCCCTGCCTCTACATACCATGCCCTAGCTCTGACTCTTGTTGTTGACTCCTACCTGCAGGACAGGCGCTGTGTCCTTTGCTGTCTTTGTTCTTCTGGCTTCTAGCAAAGTGGCTCTTGGTAAGTGATGAATGCTTCCAGCAGCCTCCCAGCCTTCCTTCAGTTCAACCCCCTCTGATGGGAGCTTCTGCCCTCCACCCCCAGTAGTGCTAGAGATGTAAGCCAGAGCCAAACATCCTGTGCCCTGCAGTTTAGTTCAGCATTGCAGCTTCATCAGCACTAGGCTCTGCTCTGTCTCTCCTTCGCTCCAGAACTTTCTGCAGCTGCCTACTGCTGAGTCGGTTGTGAACATCTAAGCAGTTCTATTACCCCGTCCCCTCGCTGCTCCTGCTGCAGGCCCCTTGCTCTTGGCTCCTTTCCCTCTTCTGCTTCTCAGATGTCCTCACCCAGATTTCTACCCCACCCCCACCCTGGGAGGTTCAGCCTCAGTAAGGGCTTAGCCACTTAAACCCTATTTCCTCATGAAGCCTTGGTCATCTGCTGTGGTCTCAAATGCAGGACAGTCTTCCACAGAGCACTTGACAGGCATCATTTCTTGTGTAAGTTCTGAGCCCCCAGCTTTGGGGGACAAAGGTCATAGACCTCTCCAGAGCCTATGAGAATGGGAGGGGTAGGCACCGTTAGGTATAACCTGCCCACATCCCTTAAGGAGTTCAGGATTCTTGGTGGTGGTGGTACTAGGATTTGAACTCCGGCCCTAGAGTTTGTCCTACCACTTGAGCCCCTCCCCCAAGCCCTTTTTGCTTTAGTTATTTTCTGAAAGGGTCTCCTATATATTTTTTTTCCTCCCAAGGACACAATCGTCTTACCTACTCCCTCCTGCATAGCCACGATTATAGGCAGACATCACCATGCCAAGCTTGTTTTTGAGATAAGGGTCTCATTGCCAAGTCTGGCCTTGAATCTCTGTCCTTCTGATCTCCACGTCCTGAGTAGCTAGGATTACAAATTGAACCTTCCATTGTCAGCCCCCAACAGAAATGCATGATTCTTATTTCTTATACCTGCCCACCATTGTTCTTGGGAGAGGGCAGAGTAGGAAAAGACCAGGAGGTGTGGCCCAGGATGACCAGTTCAGGGGTCTTCCCTTTACTGAGGAATCCAATCTGGGACATCCTACCTTCTCAAGGTCTTTTTTTTTTCTGGTATAAGCACCTTTTTCTTGAGGTTTATGAAGAGTGACATTTCTTCTCCAAATGGTATATGACTTTTAGTATTGCATAAAGATGAAGTATATTCAGTTGAATCAAGGGCAAGTTCTGTTGGCCAAATTCAAGAAGTGCCAACTGAGTAAAGCTGAGTGCTATGGTGCACACCTGTAATCCCCTTGTCCAAGAAGCAGAAGCAGGAGAAACATGAGTTCCAAGCCAGCCTGGACCATATAAGGAGACCCTGTCTTTTAAGGTGCCAAGGACTGGGGTATAGCTCAGTGGTACAGTACTTGCCTGACATGTATAAGGCTATGAGTTCAAACCCAAGCTTTGGGAGGGGCAGGGACAAGCTGACTGGTGTAAGGGAGAAGGGTAGACAATTGGTGTGAAGCTCTGGGGGGCAGGGACAGGCTGGCTCCAGTGTGTCTGTGCTGTAACTACTACCTTCCTTGCAACCGCCATCTATACACAAGTGTGGAAGTCACCATGATGGTGGAGTAACAATTTTGTTAAGTACCACCTTTGAATGTAGTAATTGGTGGGTAAAATAGTGTGTGCAAAAGGCACACCAGCTGCCCTTTGCTAGACTTTGTGAACTCAGTGTCAAACAAGAACAATAGACACTAAACTCCTATTTCAAGCACTGCCTAGGCACACACACACAGCATTACTGACTCAAAGCTGGCTGGTTGATGATGAAGAAGGCTGGGCAAGACTCCTTCCACTTCTTCATTCTTGTCCTGGGGTTTGAACTCAGGGTTTTGTACTTGCTTGACTTGCTTGCTCAACTTACATTCTACTACTTGACCACACCTTCAGTTTGGCTTTGTGTTGGAGGTGTGGTTATTTTGGAGCTGGAGTCTTTTTGTTGTTGTTGTTGGTAGTTGTGATGCTTGAACGCAGGATCTGGGTGCTCTCCTTGAACAGCTCCATTTCCATTCAGAGATAAGAATTTCATGGGGACTTTTCTGCTCAGGCTGAATTTGAACCACGATCCTTAGATCTTATCCTCCTAAGTAGCTAGGATTATAGGCATGAGCCACTAGTGCCCAGCTGAGATGGAGTTTTATGCTAATCTAAAATAGAGATTTTCAGATTTCAGTCTCCTGAGTAGTTTAGGATTAGACATGAAACACCAGCACCCAGCAATCTTTTTTTTTTTTTTTTTTTTTTGCCAGGCCTAGAGCTTGAGTTCTGGAATTAGGTGTTATTTCTGGCTTCTTTGCTCAAAGCTAATGCTCTATCACTTGAGCCACAGCTCCACTTGACTTTTTATGGTTAATTACTAAGAGTCTCAGACTTTCTTATCTGGGCTGGCTTTGATCTCAGCTTCCTGAGTAGCTAGGAATATGTGTGAGCCCATCTGTTTAAGTGTACAATTTCTTCCTTTGCATAAAGCTTTGGACATAGCCAGGTATCAAAGTACATGCCTATAATCCTAGAAGCAGATTCAGGAGGATTGTGAGTTCCAGGCCAGCCCAGGCTACACAGTGAGACCCTGTTTGAAAACAAAGCTAGGCGCTGGTGGCTCATGCCTGTAATCCTAGCTACTCAGGAGGCTGAGATCTGAGGATTACCAAAACCAGCCTGGGCAGGAAAGGTCTGTGAGAATCTTATCTCCACTAAACTGCCAGAAAACCAGAAGTGGTGCTGTGGCTCGAGTGGTAGAGTGCTTGCCTTGAGCTGAAGAGCTCAGGGACGTGCCCAGGCCCCATGACTGACAAAAGAAAACAAAACTGGAAACAAATCTGAATTTCTAGGGGGTATCTGGGCATTTGTCAGGCCAAGTTAGTGCTTTCAGGACTGAATTGCTTCCCTGCATGTTCAGTAGTGTTCAGCAGAGGTGTAGTGTCTAACATGGCATATCTAGCGCTACCTTATTGTGCACTGGACATGAGGAGAGATCCTTTCTGTTACCTTGGGGCTTGAGTCCTAACAAAAAAGCTCAGTATTTTGACTGTTGGATATGTATGGGTGGGCATTTAATCTTGTTAAAACAATAAGTAACTTTTATTCTTTCAAGAGTTTGCTGGTTGTTACAGAAGATCCAGAATTCAGTGATTTTTTTTTTTTTACAGTGAAACCACTTTTGTGTTGGTTATGGGCTGCAGAAATGGCAGCCAGCCTTGCTCTGAGATGGAAGCCATCACATGCCCCCTGTTGGCCAAACAGATACTCCCATGAGTGGTCAAAGCTTTCTCTACATTTGCAATGTATTTATAAGGACAAAAAAAAAAGGAAGCAACTCATTGAGAAGAGAGGATTTAATGACATGGGGCACACCCACATCATTTAGGACCGCCTGCTAATGAAGTGCAATGTGGGAAATTATTTAACACAGAAAAGGCTTGTTTAATAATAGATATAAATTTGAGTTGTTTAGTATGAACCCCCCCTTTTTTGGGGGGGTCGTGGGACTTGAACTCTGGGCCTGAGTGCTGTCCCTCAGCTCTTCAGCTCAAGGCTAGCACTCTATCACTTGAGCCACAGCACCACTTCCAGTTTTTTTGTGATTCATTGGAGATAAGAATCTCATGGACTTTCCTGCCTAGGCTGGCTTTGAACTGTGATCCTCACATCTCAGCCTCCTGAGTAGCTAGGATTACAGGCATGAACCACTGGTGCCCAGCTGAACCCATGTTTTGAGGGGTAGATGAAGTTGCCCAGGCTAGCCTCAAACTTGTATAAATGCTTGACAACCTCTAATAACCTTATAGATTATTTTAACTCTGTACTGCTCTCGGTCTAGTGTTACCCTGTATCTTAAGGTACCTAAAAAATAAAAAAGGGCTAAGCAAGGCTCAAGTGGTAGAGTACTTGCCTAGTGAACACAAGGCCTGGAGTTGAATCCCTAGTCCTAGAAGGATTGAAGGAAGGACATGGAGGAGGGAAGAAGAAAGGTAAAGAGTCCATGGGGCCCACGTCATTTTGAGTGTGACACTGAGCTCACAGCAGCAGTTTGTCATGCACAACATGGGAGAATAATTAAAATTCATCAATAGTGATGTGCCATCCACTTGGAGTCAACAGCTCAAATCAGGCTGTGTTGTCTAGAGATGGATACATCGGAGGATGAAGGAGGAAAACAGTGATCTCAGAAGATGGAGGCAGACTTCATGGGGAGCTGCCAGGGTTCTAGCTCTTGATTAGTGGGTGGTTATATAGGGTCTTTTTTTCTGGTCCTGGGGATTGAACTCAGTGCCTGGGCAGTGTTCCTGAGCTGCTTTTGCTCAAGGCTAGTGTGCTACCATTTGAACCAAAGTGCCACTTGCAGCTTTTTCTAAGTAGTTTATTGGAGCTAAGAGTCTCATGGACTTTTCTACCCTGCTGGCTTTGAACTGTAATCCTCAGATCTCAGCTTCCTGAGTAGCTAAGATTACAGGTGTGAGCCACTGGGGCCCAGCTATGGAGTCTTCTTTCCAATGACTCTTCACGTGGTTTTCCTTTTTCTGTACTGTATATCCCTACCGGACAGAAACCCTGCCCATAATGATGCACACAGTATTTGGGAGGGAGAGGCATGAGCTGTATGTGCTGGTTGTGTTAGGAACATTGTGTTTCATTTGTTATCTATAATTTTTTAAAATATTTAAATCAAGATTAAAACCCAAAGAGGGTTATATGGAAAACAGATGCTTTCTCCCTCCACCCCCTTCTTTCTTTTTTGGAGACAGTCTTATGATATAGCTCATCCTAGCCTCCAAATGGTGATTCTCTTGCCTCTTAAATGCTGGGATTATAGTGTGCCACCATGCTTGGCTCCCTCCTTCCTTCCTACCTTCCTTCCTACCTTTCTTCTCTTCCTCCCTTCCTTTCTGTCGTGGGGCTCGAACTCTGGGCCTGGGCACTGTCCCTCAGCTCTTCAGCTCAAGCTAGCACTCTACCACTTGAGCTTCAGCCCCACTTCCGGCTTTTTCTGCTTATGTGGTGCTGAAGAATTGAACCCAGGGGCTCATGCATGCAAGGCAAGTGCTCTACCACTGAGCCACCTTCCCAGCCCCTCCCCCTTTCATTTTATTGTTCATATAAGTATAAAATATTTATTCAACAAAATTAGAGATCAGGATCTGAATCAGCACTTTTAAGTTTTTTTTTTCACATTCAAAAGTTTGTGTGTGTGTGTGTATTTTCCCTAAAAAGGAAAGGTGGCTCAGTGGTAGAGCGCTTGCCTTGCATGCATGAGGCCCTGGGTTCGATTCCTCAGCACCACATAAGCAAAAAGAAAAAAGCCGGAAGTGGCGCTGTGGCTCAAGTGGTAGAGCGCTAGCCTTGAGCTGAAGAGCTGAGGGACAGCGCCCAGGCCCAGAGTTCAGGCCCCACGACCAGCCACCCCCCCCCCCCAAAAAAAAAGGAAAAGAAAATGTCTAGTGGAACACCACATCTGCCATCCTGGCTACTCAGGAGGCTGAATCTGAGGATCTAGGTTCATAACCAGCCCAGGCAGGAGAGTCCTTGAGACTCTTGTCTCCAGTTAACTGCGGAACAAGCCGAAGTAGAGCTGTGGCTCAAGTGTTAGGGCACTAGCCTGGCACAGAAAAGCTCAGGGCCCGGAAAACGCGATGGACACGGGCCGTCCCATCCCACCCTGGGCCTCCTGGATGCTGTGGGGGCTCGCAGGGGTGAGGCCCACCTGCTGAGGGGAGAACAGGGCGCTGGTCCCCGCCACCCCTCGTCCGGTTAAAGATCCGAACCCGCCTTCGCCTCCAGGCCTAACAGATAACAGATGCTCTAGTGCGCGGCCTCACCCCGGAATCCCCGGTGAGGACCGGAGGTGCGGGCGCGCGCACACGGTTCCCAGTGAGGTCAGGAGATGAGGGGAAGGCCCGGGCCCGCCCTCGCACCCGCAGCGCCAGGATTACGGGGGCGGGCGGGGGTGACCCGCGGTGTCCCGGGCTGCGGGGCCTCTGAGGGACTGCGACGGCCCAGCCTAGGTCTCGCTTGGGCTCCGCTCAGCGCGGCGGCGATCAACTGGGGGACGGATGTGGAAACGTCTCGGGTCGGCACCCGCCCCGGGGCTCGCTGCGTCCGCGCACGGGAACGGCCGGCCGGTCTCCTCCTGGGCCGCGGGTCGTCGCTGTCTCTGTTCCCTGAACGTGGAGAGCAAAGGGGAACGCGGCCAGCTCCACCCGCGGCCGCAGTGACTTCGGCTCCTTCAGGAACCCCGCACCACGGCCCAGAGGGACGCGCTCTTTCCCGCGGCGCCCACCCCGCACCGCGGCCCCACGAGACTTCTTCCTCCCCAGGCGCCCACCCCGCACCACAGCCCCACGGGACGGGACGCGGCCCACCCCACAGCGCGCCCCCGCCCACCCACCCACCCGCAGGAGCGGGATGGATGGAGAGCGCGCGCCCGCTGGCCAGACAGCCAATCAGAACGGGGCAGGCCAGCGGGCGACCTCCCATTGGCTTCCTGGGCGCAGGCGGAGCGCGCAGCGGCGTTGACTGGGCGAGCCGCCTGCCAATCTGGGCGGGGCTGAGGCGAGCCCTGCCAGTGGCCGGAGGCGGCCGGGTCAGGCCCGCGGCCCGCAGTCGGCGCGGAGGTCCGCACTGAGCAGCCGCCGCCCTCTCCTGCGCGCGTGCTCAGGCTCCCGGCGTCCCCCGCCGCGTCATGCCTGGCGCCGCTCGGCTCTAGAGCCCGGGGCCACCATCCTCGCCTGCCTGAAGCCGCGCCCACCGCCCAGAGCCAGAGGGATGGTGGTAGTCACGGGGCGGGAGCCAGACAGCCGTGCGCCCGACGGCGCCATGTCCAGCTCCGACGCCGAGGACGACTTTCTGGAGCCGGCCACACCGACGGCCACGCAGGCCGGGCCCGCGCTGCCCCTGCTGCCCCAGGAGGTACCGGCCGGTCGGGTGGGGCGGGAGCAGGTGCAGGGAGCCGACCTGGTGGACGAGCCCGGGCTGTGCGCCCGGCCCCGTGGGACCCTGTGGCACCCTGCCCGCCCACCGGGCTGCTGGCTCCAGCCCTGGACCCCCCACGCTTCCCGCCCGTGTGGCCCGAGGCCGTGGGAGGGGTCCTCGGACCCTCAAGAGGACAATAACTGCTGGCAGAGTCCAAGAGCAGGGGCTCCAGCTGGGCTGCGCCAAGGGGGTCCACGCCCACCCTGACCCGGTGCCCCAAGTCCTCCCCAAGCCCTCAAGGAGGTGTGCGGAGGGGTCCACGCCCACCTAGGGGCTCAGGGCCTGGGGTCCCAGGTGCGAGGAGGCATCCACGGCCACCTGGGACCCTGAGCTCCCTTGCCCACATGCTGAGAGGTGCATCCTTCCCTGTGACACTGCGACCCTAACTCCTGAATGACCCTCAGGCGGGAAAGAGGCGCCCCAAGTCTGGGAGGCCAGAAAAGAGGTAGACACTGACCCAGGAGACCCAAGGCAATGGTGAGTCAGGAGAGTATGACACATGGAGATGGACAGAGCCCCAGGGGGCTGGGCCAGGCGAGGCTCCCCGCAGGGATGGGCCGTGTTGGGAACCCTGAACTCCCCACTTCCTGGGAAAGTTGTGAAAATAAGCAAAATTCTGGACATGCCTTCGGGGAAAGAAGCCAATAGAGACACAGTGGTGCTATTTTTTGTGCTGTCATTGGGGACCAGTGTGGTTTGAGGGAAAATACCCAGAGCCTCAGGCTGAAGGCCGGCCCTGAGTGCCAGCTGCCCCGCGGGCCAGTCAGATTGCTGCCTATGAGCTCCCAGACTGCTTGCCATTTCTTATTTTCTTCCTGGTTTCTCTAATAGAGCAGACCCGAGGTTGTATGGAACATCTCTGGAAAAGGTTCTTAAGAGGCTCAGAGTGTATGTAGCTCTTGAGTCCTTGGCAGTGCTGGAATTGGTGAAGGGTCCTGGTATAGAAGTAGGGACAAGAGAGGCAGGACTGAAAAGTCTGTTTGTTCCCTTCCTTCCTCATGCAAGCCAGATCTGGGGTTGGTTCTGGTTAAGCATTCTGCAAGCCAGGTTTGGAATAGGCATTGTTAAGCATTCTGTAAGCCTGGCATGGGGTAGGTTCTGTTTAATATGTTTGGCTCCTACCAAGGACTGCTGTACAAAGGATGTGGAAGCTGGGAAAGGAGCTGCAGATAATAGAAGAGTTAGACTAGAGCCAGAGAGAGGCCGTGACCTTGAAGAGAATGTACCGGGTTAAAGTTTTAGTTGACTTGAAGGAAGTTTGTGGGAAAGTTACAACTAGCCACATTTCTTTCAGTTATAAACCATAGAAACCACAAGCAATAGAAGACATTAAAAGGAAGAAGAAGGGAAGGAAAAAAAAAACCAGCTGAGCTTTTAAGGAGGTGCCTTGAGCTTCCCAGGACAAATCTTTTTTGCTGGTACTAGGCCTTGAACTCAGAGCTCTTGGCTGGAGCTTGGCCACTTGAGCCACACCTGCACTTCCAGCTTTTTGCTGGTTACTTAGGGGTAAGTTTCTTATAGATTTGTCTGTGGTATCTGGCTCTGAACCTCAATTCTCAGATCTCAGTCTCCTGAGTTGCTACTATTACAGAAATGAGCCACCAGTGCCTGGCTTCCAGGGAAAATGTTTTCTTTTTCTTGACTACATCCAGTTCTGGCCTCTACAACCTTATCTGAGTTGGAGATGAATCACTGCAGACTAAGCAGGAGAGAAATGGTATGAATTTAGAGAATACAGAATATAGGGGATGAGGATTGACTGCCTGGATGCAGTCAGCCAACATCTGCTGAGTTCACAGGCCCCTGACTGGCAGAAAGTCTTTCCCTGCCCGTGGGAAGCATGGCACCCAGCAGAAAGAGTTGACAGAAGATAGTAATTACTCACATGGGGATTGGTGTGTAGTAGAGGCACTCTGGAGGAGCTGGGATGTGACTCTGGGCAGTGAACCTTCCAAGAGGACCTGGGGAGAGGCCCTTGGAGTGAGTGGATGTGGCTGTCTACTGTGGATTCTGCAGGGCCTGGGTATGAACTGGGAAAAGACACTCACCTGCCCAGAGCCTTTGTGCAGTGACCACCTGCCTCACTGGGTGGGTGATTTTGCTTGCTGGATAGAGGGATGGGGACATTTGGGGCCTAGGAGACGGGAGAGGCAGGACTATAGATGCTGAATTCAGGATGCCAGAGGAGGTGGTGACTGCTGAGAGGATGAGACAGATGGAGGGGCCTGGCCTCACAGTGGTCTGGAGAGCGGGCAGGACTGGCAATGCGTATGTGTAGGGAAAAGGAGAGGAGAGGGGTTCAGATGATGCTAGGGCTTGTGTAGGGTGGCACTGCTCAAGCGGGGGGATGGAGCAGGCTGAGACCTGTTGTGCTTCCGTTCCAGTTTCCTGAGGTCGTTCCCCTGAACATTGGAGGAGCCCACTTCACCACGCGCCTGTCCACGCTGCGGCGCTATGAGGACACCATGTTGGCGGCCATGTTCAGTGGGCGGCATTACATCCCCACAGATTCAGAGGGTCGCTACTTCATTGACCGCGATGGCACACACTTTGGGTATGTATCCTTCACTCGGCAGCCATGCAGGCAAGTGGCTGCCCTTGAGCCTGGAGCTCTAGCATCGTCCCTAGTACCAGAGGAGGTTATGTATTGACGGTATTTAACCAGTGCACTTATAACCTGCTTTGCCAAAGGAAGCAAGGACAGCTGGGGAACTCCGGGGCACACGCCACCAAGCCCAGCGGGATGCACTGGGCCTTCTGAGGCCTCAGACTCAGCAGCGCATGGAGAGAACTTGCAGGCAGGGAAGGGCCACTCCTGGAGGGAAGCCCCCCACTAGGTGCAAAGCACGCCTCCAGCTTCTTGCCAGGCATGAAGCTTCTTCAAGCCAGGCATTGTGGCACACACCTTTAATCTCAGTAAATCAGGAGATGGGACAGGAGGATTTCAAGTTCAAGGCCAGTCCTGGGTTATATAGTTAGAACCTGTCTCAAGGGAAAAAACAAAAACAAACAAAAAAGATGAAGGAGGGCTGGGAAGGTGGCTCAGTGGTAGAGCGCTTGCCTTGCATGCCTGAGGCCCTGGGTTCAATTCCTCAGCACCACATAAGCAAAAAGAAAAAAGCCAGAAGTGGTGCTGTGGCTCAAGTGGTAGAGCACTAGCCTTGAGCTGAAGACCTGAGGAACAGTGCCCAGGCCCAGAGTTCAGGCTCCACAACCAGGCCCCCCCTCCCCCCCTCAAAAAAAAAAGATGAAGGAAAGGCTCACAAAGGGTTGCCTTAATTTTGCCAAATAAATTTGTCATCACTATAATTTTAACACTAAAACATGTAAAAAAAACAATCTAGAAAAAGGCTGTATCCATGAACACTGTAACTAAGTCTCAGGTTCCTGAGAAATGGTTACAGCTCCCTGTGTGCTGTCTATGAGGCTTAAGGGCTGCAGCGGGACCCTAGTCAGGTCACCCTTCCGAGAGGCTGGAATTCCCTGAATTTCAGTTTAACTCTGGAGAAGACTTAAGAATTGACATGGGGGGCTGGGAAGGTGGCTCAGTGGTAGAGCGCTTGCCTTGCATGCATGAGGCCTTGGGTTTGATTCCTCAGCACCATATAAGCAGGAAAAGCTGGAAGTGGTGCTGTGGCTCAAGTGGTAGAGCGCTAGCCTTGAGCTGAAGAGCTGAAGGACAGTGCCCAGGCCCAGAGTTCAGGCACCATGACTAACAAAAAAACCCCCAAGAAAACAAAATAAATAAGAATTGACATGGTCCTTGAGCTTGAACCGCAGGTACAGGGAGGCAGAGCTCCCACTGGTGTGTCTCAGGTGCCCCTGCGAGGAGGGTGGTCTTTGTCCTTAGGAAGGAGCCTCTGGCCAGTGAACTGACTTTGCAGCTGTAATAATCCTTCATGACCATCCCAGGGGACCATGTGGAGGCAAGCAGGCACAGGAGAAAGATTATTATAAGGTTTATTATTAGAGGGGCCATATCTCCTGGGAGAGGGAACACATGGTGTCTGCTCCTATCCAAGTGGCAAGAAGGTCTGGGGGAGGTAGTGAGCTAGGTGTGTGTGCAGGTAGGTCTGGGCAGAGGGAGGGCGTGGCCAGCGTGGGAACTTTAGGGCAGGGAGGAACTCAGGTCTGGGTAGAGCTGAGGACTAGAGGTGGGGAGAATACTAACAGCAGCATGTGGGGTTTTTGGAGGTGAGGGCATCTGCTGCGTCTGGGAGTGAGAAAGCAAGTGTCACATTGTTGTGGAAGTATAAAAAGGTTCTTGTTTCCAGGCTGCTTGGGAGGAAGAGGCTGGCCCCATTGGCAGCACCCATAGTGCTCTTCCTGGTCCTTGCACTGTCTTGCAGAGCTCATGGGTGCTTGCTGAAGAGGCCCCAGAGGACACACAGAATGGGTGACTTGGATTCATTCCAGACTAGTGGTGCCTGTGTCTGGGGGCGGAGCTGCAGAGCTACAGAGCAGAGGGCTGGACAGGGCGTAGCAGAAAGCAGGCTACTGTACTCATGCCTGGCCTGCAGTTCACCCGTGCAAGTACTTAAATAAAATAGGTGCACCAATCCCTTCCCAGTGCCCACCGTGCAGGCAATGCCGGCAGTACAGGCTTCCCACCTGGGCAGGCTGCATGGTGGGCTGAAGGCTCTGCTGAGGCCTGGCCTGTGTGGCTGTGGGCTGGGTCAGCAGGTCATACTAATGGCAAGGATGGGACATGTAGAATTCCATGCTGCTGGTGGGGCAGAAAGTGCCACAGCTCATCTTGTGAACTCTCTACCACCTGTGACCAGCAAGCACAGCTGAAGAGCCAAACGGGAGTGGCCAGGGCAGCTCTCCTCAGAATAGCCCTGAACCGGACACAGCCCAGATGCCCACTGTCAAGGGCAGCTAAGCCACAGCAGAGGCAAATACTGTCATGTCCAGCGGGGGCAACCCAGAGATCCTTCACTGAGGGGAGGAAGTCGGGTACAGAGAGGACATTCTGTGATCCCACTTGTAGGAAAAGGAGGAGGTGCAGTGGCTGCCCATCAGTAGGGATGGGGAGACACGGGAGGCCCAATCCATGTGGTGCTGTGTGCATATATTCCTGCTGTAAAATAACCAACCTATACACTGAGGAGTACTAGCCTGCATCCCAGTGCCGGTAGCTCACTCCTGTCATATTAGCTACTCAGAAACTGAGATCTGAGAATCATGGTTCGAAGCTAGCCTGGGCAGAAAAGTCTATAAGGCTCTTATCTCCAATAAACTACCAGAAAAGCCAGAAGTGGTGCTGTGGCTCCAGTGATAGAGCGCTAACCTTAAGCAAAAGAAGCGCAGGGACAGTGCCCAGGCCTTGAGTTCAAACCCCAGGACTGGCAAAAAAAAAAAAGTACTCATTGGGGCTGGAGGTGCTGGAGGTGTGCTCTGAGGTGGCATGCTTACCTGCAGCATGTACAGGGTTCTGGGTTGCATCCCCAGCAGAGGAAAAAATAAAAACGACCACATGTGCATGTATCGAATATTCATACTGAAGCCTGTGGAGGACTTGGTGCACCAGAGATCTTCTAAGCACTGCTCGGCCTGTTGGCTGGTCTGACTCCCTCATGGGGAGGTAGTTCATTGTTCTTGTGCTGTCCTGCAGTGAGAGGGACATGGGGACCAAGGTGCTGTGTCCTCTTGGTGCTGGTGGGGATACGGGTACTGTGCTGAGTCCTCTTAGTGCTGGCTGCAGGGCTGTCCCATCCTCATGTCTCTTTCCTCTTGCTCAGAGATGTGCTGAACTTCCTGCGCTCGGGGGATCTGCCTCCGCGGGAGCGCGTGCGGGCAGTGCACAAGGAGGCCCAGTTCTATGCCATCGGGCCACTCCTGGAGCAGCTGGAGGACATGCAGCCGCTGAAGGGCGAGAAGGTGCGCCAGGCCTTCCTGGGGCTCATGCCCTACTACAAAGGTGAGGGTTGTGGCTGGGGCCTGGCCTCCCAAGGTGGCTCCAAGCATTCTGGGGGACAGTGCCTGCAGGCTGCTTTCAAACGGCCAGCCTGGTCCTGGGGTGTGGAATGTGGGGTGGGGTGGGCCTAGTCCTGAGGTTGTGGAGCCAGGGGCCTCATCCTGGGTATGGGGTGGGGAGGCCTTGTTCTGGGGAGTGGGGTGTGGGGTCTCCTGGGGTGTGTGGGGTCTTTGTCTTGGGGTGGAGGGTGGGAGGGGCTTCACTCTGGGGGGTGAGGGGAGCTGGGCCTTGTCCTGTGGCTGTGGGGTGGGAGGCCAGGCCCCTGCTAGAGCCCCTGCTCGTGCAATTGGACTCTCCCTCCTGCCCGTGCCGCCCCTGCCCGATGATGGGTGCTGTGCTCACCCCACAGAGCACCTGGAGCGGATTGTGGAGATCGCCCGGCTGCGTGCCGTGCAGCGCAAGGCCCGCTTTGCCAAGCTCAAGGTCTGTGTCTTCAAGGAGGAGATGCCGGTCACCCCGTACGAATGCCCACTCCTCAGCTCCCTGCGCTTTGAGCGTGGCGACAGCGACCGGCAGCTACTGGAGCACCACTGTGAGGTGGACGTGTCCTTTGGGCCCTGGGAGGCTGTGGCTGATGTCTACGACCTGCTGCACTGCCTGGTCACCGACCTGTCAGCACAGGGTCTCACGGTGCACCACCAGTGCATCGGTGTGTGTGACAAGCATCTGGTCAACCACTACTACTGCAAGCGCCCCATCTATGAGTTCAAGATCACCTGGTGGTGAGTAGCTGGGGCCTGCACCCTCCTGGGTGATGACACGGACGGAGGCTCTGCTCCAAGGGACAGATGCAGCTGCAGTTGGCCCTCGGCCCTCAGTGTGTGCTGAGGCTCAGCAGCCCTCATGGGCACAGGGGACCGGTGAGTGTTTGTTACCTGCTCCACCTTTCAAGAATGTCTTCCCATGTTAGAGCCTCGTTGCTGACAGTGCCCTGTTGAGGCATCCCTTCTGTGCTTTGTGGAGCACAAGGTGTTTGCCCTGCTGAAGAAGAGCACGTTTTCCTCCCAGTGTACTCCTCCTCCCAAAGAGTAGTCCCTCAGTTGTCTAAGGATGCAGAAAGGCCCTCTCCCCAGCCCGGGTCCCTCACCACTCTCTGGAGACTCAACCTGGGTTGCAGAGCCCCGTACCAGTCTGGCCTTAGAAAACTACCATGTTTACAGCCCTGCCTCAGGGCCTGGGCTCCTGCCTTCCACCAGCCACCCCGCCTTCTCCCAGCTGCTATGATCCCTGAAGATGAGCGACAAGACACCTGGGGCTCCTGCCACCTGAAGTGTGACACTGAGCGATCCCTGATCTGCAAGGAGTGTTCCCATTTGGGGAAGGAGAGGCAGGGCTGGTGGGAGCCCCGGCTGCAGAAAGAAAGTGGCAGAGCCCCTGCCTGTGAGTCCCAGGCTGCAGTGGGGATGACTGTGTGGCGGCCATGTGCTCCTGCTGGCCACATTCTGGACTGCTCAGCCTGTGGAGGGGAGTGGCATGCTTCAGCACAGTGCAACAACCCAGCTGTTGAAGAGAGATTTTCTATCTGTAAAACAGGTGACTTGGTCTAAGGGAAAGTCAGGCAATGTGGAGGAAGGAAGGGTGGAAGACAGCACCTCTTGAAGAAGAGAATGTTCCCCCAGGGCTGGAGGTGAGCCTGGACATTTGTTGTGTGAGGGGCTCTAACTTTGAGCCCCTGTTTCACTCTTCTGTAGGAGAACATGGGTGGGGATGGGTCTCAGAGCAAAGGCCTGCCCTCTGTGTTCTCTCATCTCAGTGTGGTTCTCATAAACAAATGCTGCTCTCTCTTCTGGGGCCCATGACTCTACTTGGCATGTAACACCGTGACTCTTTTTCTTTCTTTCTTTTTTTATAATGGTGCTGGGGATTGAACCCAGGGTCCCATACATGCAGACAAGTGTTATGCCAACTGAGCCAAGCTCCTTCCCCTTTGCTTTAGTTGTTCATAAGGTAGAATCTCATTAATGTCACCCAGATTGGCCTTGAACTATTGATCCTTCTGCCTCTGCCTCCTGAGTAGCTCTGATTTCAGGGGTGTGCCACCACACCCAGCCCTATCCCATGACTCTTGGCTTGTTCTTTTCTTTTTTTTTTCAGTCATGGGGCTTGAACTCTGGGCCTGGGTGCTGTCTCTCAGCTCTTCAGTTCAAGGCTAGTGCTCTACCACTTGAGCCACAGCACCACTTCTGGTTTTCTGAGTTTTATTAGAGATAAGAAGAGTCTCACAGACTTTCCTGCCTGGGCTGGCTTTGAACTGTGATCCTAAGATCTCAGCCTCCTGAGTAGTTAGGATTACAGGCGTGAGTGTTTCACTTGCTGTGGTTGATGCTACTTGCAGCGTAATGTATGTACAGACAGCAGGTGACTAGGTGTTTCTATAATCTAGCCTTGGCCTTCTTGCCACTCTTGTCACCAAACCATTCAAAACCTGGCAAGTCAGAGCTCACCCAGGAAACACAGGGAGAAACTGGAGTCCTGCTTGGAGTTACAAAGATGCTAGGTTGGCTGCTATTCCTGTGTCTCTTCCTCTTACTGAAGATGCCCCTGCCTTGCTGGTCCTCTGAGTTGCCCTCATGGTGATTTGTGAGGAGACGAGGCCCTGGGTCACTAGGGCAGGCAGAGGGGACATTGGCAGCTGGCTTAGAGCTCTTTCTTTCCCTCACCTCCTTTCTCCTTGCCTCTTCTTCCTTTTTTCTCCCCTCTCCCCTTCCTTTTTCATCCCCTCTATTCTTTTTTTTTTCTTTATGTTTTACTCAAGTTTAAGGGTGGATCAGACCTTGTACTGAATTCTCTTGTAGAAAGTCTGTACATTCCTGAGGCTAGACACAGTAGCCCATATCTACAATCCCAGCTACTAGGAAGGTGGAAATAGGAGGATTGTTGTTTGAGGCAGTCCAGGCAAAGCGTTAGGGCCTATCTAAAAGAGAAAGCCAGGTGTAGTGGCTCACATCTGTAATCGTAGTCACATGAACAGAGTAAGTAGACAGATTGTGCTTACAGGCCAGCCATGGCAAAAAACGCAAGACCCTGTCTGGAAAATAAAGCAAAAGGGGTGTGGTGTGGTTAAGTTGGTAGAGTGCTTTTCTGGCAAGCACGAGGCCCAGAGTTCAATACTGTATACTACCCCAATAAATAAATACATAAATATATTCATGGGTTTTTTTTAAAAAGCTTTTAACCCAGCAACTTTCCTCCTTCTTCATGGCAATGGGAACTTCACTTTGTACTGAATATGTGTTTATTTGGTGAAGTCCTGATTCCTGGGTGGAGTGGGTCCCAGTGGTAAAGTACTTGTAGGAGGCCCTGGGCTCTGTCTGCAGTACTTCATGCATCATGTGATATTCACCACCAGCCTCTTAGTCTTCAACCCTCTCCACTATCTAAAACTTGCCCAAAGGGCTGGGAATGTGGCTTAGTGGTAGAGTGCTTGCTTAGTATGCATGAAGTCCTGGGTTCAATTCCTCAGTACCACATAAACAAAAAGCCAGAGGTAGTGTTATGGCTCAAGTGGTAGAGTGCTAGCCTTGAGCAAAAGAATCCCAGGGGCAGTGCCCAGGCCCTAAGTTCAAGCCCCATGCACATGGTTGTAAGAGTTTGTGGCCTGTTGGCCCTTCTGAGGCAAAAACTCCAGGAAGCGGCTAAAATGTGCTATCCGATGTGGATGTGGTGGTCCCCTACAGGACCATCTTTTTCTTTGGTCAGTGTGGATCCTGAATTCTGAGCCTAGGTGTTGTCCCTGAGCTCTTCAGCTTTAGGCGAGCATTCTACCACTTGAGCCACTGCACCACTTCCAGTTTTCTGGTAGTTTATTGGAGATCAGAGTTTCACAGACTTTCCTGCCCCGGCTGGCTTTGAACTACGATCTTCGGATCTCAGCCTTTGGAGTAGCTAGGATTACAGATGTGAACCAACAGCGCCTGGCTGCAGAATCATCTTTGTGGAGGTCCCTCTGCCTGGGCTCTGCCCAGCAGTGAGTGGCCAGGCTCATGTGTTAGAGAGGGATGGATGGCAGTGGTGGAGAGGGTGTATGTTCAAAGAATTGAGGGCACAGGGCTGTAAATGTGTCATCTGAACAGGGACAGTAGACTCTGGAAAGGCAAGGGGCTGTGGCTGCCCTGCTCCATCTTCTTGGGACCGAGCTCGCTGCTGCAGGGACATGGACCCCAATCCTACTCAGTGCAAAACCCAGCAGTAATGGAAAGGATGGAGACACAATCCTGCCCAGTGGCCATTTCACCCACCTCTGTCCACAGGGCCTGGTGCAGCCAGCCATGGAAAGCTGGCTGTGCTCTGGAACTTTCTATCCCTTCCCTGGGCTCATGTGTGGTGGGGTCTTTCTCTTCTGAGCCACTACTGGAAGACCAGGAAACCATGTTTGCAAAGCGTGCTGATTGGGTGACACGAGTAGGAAGAGCCTGGGCCAGGCGCCCCGTGCGGGCAGGAGGCCCACGCGGGGAAGAGGACCCGCGGTGCAGCGCGGTCAGCTGTTGCCTAGTGTGCAGCGTCTCAGCCTGATGCCCCTGCGCTTCAGGGGACTGGTCTGGACGGGAGGCCTGTGGGCTCTGAAAGAAGTCCCTGGCACGCGGTGGGCGCAGAGGTGGCGCCCGAAGCCTCCATTGGCTTCAAAGACAAAAGGCTGGGGCCGCCCCTTCCTAAGACCTGTGCCGCGTCTGCTGTCAAGTGCAGCCCGCGCTGGAGGCTGTGTGCCTGGACCTCCGGGGGCCTCTGGCCTCGCCCCTTCTCCCTCACAGCTGAGATCCTTCCTTGTTAGAGAAGCCGGGGCGCGGGGCGGCGGCGAAGTTCCCGATGCGAGTGTGAGGGTGCAGCCCAGGCTTGAGTGGGAAGGCGGGAGCTGAGGCCAACTGCTGTGCCCACCACCTCAAAGGAGAGTACCGGCCTGCCTCCCGCCGCTCTCCAGCGCCCCTGCTGACCAAGCGGAGTGTCCGCTGGCAAGGACAACAAAGTCTATTTCAGAGTACGTGACTGGTGATTTGGGGCCCATACCTGATGAGTGCGCATGTGCGCGCACACCCACACATAGACTAATCCCATGTTTACACTTTCTAGCCCCTTCTCTTAGCTTAGACTATATATCCTAGCACCTGGAAGACATTGCCACCTACATGTCTGCTGGCCATCTCAAACACTGTGGTATTCCAGGCACTTCCTTCCATAGCTCTGTTGTATGCAGCAGGTACCCCAGCCAATCTAGTAACTTCCTGTATTGCTAGGAGGGTACTCATCCCTCTTAAGTTTCCATTTCAATGGAGTCATTATGTCCTCTGGCAGAAGTGGAACAATACCATTAAGCTAGTAGAGCATAGTGTCATGGCCCAAGCAACCAAACCATCCCTTTCATTCTGCACCCATGAGTCTGGGCCTTAGTAGAAACAGCACCATGTATGTAAGCTGCCTTCTACGGGGGATCAAGGGTAGGCCTCGGTCGCTTCTGAGCTGGCTGTGTACATTCGGAGGTAACTGCAGGAACAACAAACATGGCAGCTTTGATTACAGATGTGCCCTGCTCTGTGCCAGGAGACACGAGGCAGTAGCCCCACTTTGCTTCTTTTTTTTTTTTTTGGGTCCAGTCATGGGGCCTGAACTCTGGGCCTGGGCGCTGTCTCTCAGCTCTTCAGCTCAATGCTAGCGCTCTACCACTTGAGCCACAGCGCCACTTCCGGCTTTTTTTTTTTTGCTTATGTGGTGCTGAGGAATCGAACCGAGGGCCTCAGGCATGCAAGGCAAGCGCTCTACCACTGAGCCACCTTCCCAGCCCAACTGCCTGTAACTTTTTTTTGTTTGAGATAATCTTGTTATAATAGTCCCAGCTGGCCTTGAAATCCCAGGCTCGTCTTGAACTCATGACTTCTTCTGCCTCAACTTCCAAGTGCTGGGATTGTGACATGTGCCACCATGTCAGGCAACAGCTTATTTTCTGCAGTCTCTTAACAGGAAACCATGAGACAGCGAGCCTTTTGAGTTAACAGCCTTTCTGAAGAGTGACTGGGTAACCACTTCAACACCGCACCAATGTGATCTCGCTTTCCTCTGTGAGGGAAGTCTACAAAGGAAAATCTCTTTGAAGCTAACACTATTTGCAAAGTTTACTCCTGGAAAACACAGTATAGATTACATTTTCCTAATATCTAGTGGATCACAGGAAAAGGTCTGGCTCATGGATTCTCCATTTACTCCTAAATTACCTTCTCTAATGGGATTTTCTCTTACCTTTCTTCCCTATTCCCTAGCCCACTGGTGTTTCAGCCAAAGAAAAGGAACAGGGAGAAAGGAAAGGAAGCCAATGGACAGGGAAGAGGGATGGAGACAAGGCATGTGGAGATTCAGACATGAAAAACACAAGAGGGACAGCAGCTGACAGTCCAGTCACTACAGTACTGAGGTGGCCAATGTCTTATATGAATTACAGATGAATTAGGAACATGTTTCTGCTTTTGAGTGGATCAAAAAAGTATTTGGGGGGCTGGGAAGGTGGCTCTTTGGTAGAGCGCTTGCCTTGCATGCATGAGGCCTTGGGTTTGATTCCTCAGCACCACATAAGCAAAAAGAAAGCCGGAAGTGGCGCTGTGGCTCAAGTGGTAGAGTGCTAGCCTTGAGCTGAAGAGCTGAGGGACAGCACCCAGGCCCAGAGTTCAGGCCCCACGACTGGACCCCCCCCCCAAAAAAAAGTATTTGGAGAGGGCGTCGGGGGCTCATGCCTGTAATCCTAGCTACTCAGGAGGCTGAGATGTTGAGTATTGTGGTTCAAAGCCAGACTGGGTGGGAAAATCCATCAGACTTTTATCTCCAATAAACCACCAGAAAACTCATAGTGGTGTTGTGACTCAAGTGGTAGAGCGCTTGTCTTGAGCTGAAGAGCTCAGGGACAATGTCCAGGCCCAGAGTTCATCAAGCCTCAGGAGTAGAGGGGGGAAAAAAGTACAACAGAATATGTGCATCTGTCTTCATTGTATTCCTTACCTGGTGTGTGTAAAATCTGAGGATGCCTAACCTATCTCACCCCCTTCAAGCCTATAGACACA